CGAGCTGCTTTCAGGATTTTCTCTTTGTCTCTGAGACTCGTAAGTTTTACTATTAGGTGTCGAGGTGTTGACCTGTTTTTATTGATTTTGAGAGGGATTCCCTGTGCCTCCTGGATTTTGATGCCTGTTTCCTTCCCCACATTAGGGAAGTTCTCTGCTATAATTTGCTCCAATATACCTTCTGCCCCTCTCTCTCTTTCTTCTTCTTCTGGGATCCCAATTATTCTAATGTTATTTTGTTTTACGGTATCCCTTATCTCTTGAATTCTGCCCTCGTGATCCTATAGTTGTTTATCTCTCTTTTTCTCAGCTTCTTTATTTTCCATCATTAGTCTTCTATATTGCAAATTCTTCTGCCTCATTTATCCTAGCTGTTAGAGCCCCCATTTTTGATTGCACCTCATTAAAAGCCTTTTTATTTCGACTTGGTTAGATTTTAGTTCTTTTGTTTCTCCAGAAAGGGTTTCTCTAATAACTTCCATGTTTTTTTCAAGCCCAGCTAGTATCTTTAAAATCATGATTCTGAACTCTAGGTCCGACATCGTACTAATGTCCGTATTGAGTAGGTCCCTGGCAGTCGGTACTGCCTCTTGTTCTTTTTGTTGAGGTGATTTTTCCCATCTTGTCATTTTTTCCAGAGGAGAATAGATGAATGAGAGAACAAAATGCTAACAGGGTACCAACATCCCCAGAAAATATACTCTAAAGAAATCAGAAAATACCTGAAACCGGGGGAAAAGAAAGGGAAAGAAAGAAAAAGGAAAAAGATAAAAATAAACAAAAACAGAACAAAACAAAAAAACAGAATATGATCAAATATGATCAGGCTAGTACATAAATTGGTGCCACACACTAGATTTTGGGTGTATTTTGGTCTGTTAGAATAAAGTGCCTCCCAAAATTTTAAAGAAAGAAAAGGTTATATATGTACAAAAATAAGGGTTAATACGATGAAGGGATGGAATATGACTGTAAAGATGAAAATAATAGAAGATTTTAAAAAAGGAATTGATAAGGTGTTTGAAAAAAGAAGAGAATTTAAAAAAAAAAGGGAGAGAATGTGATCAGGCAGGAGACTAGAACAAAGCCATACAGTAGAGATTTAGGGTATATTTTGATCTGTTAGAAGAAACTATTTCAAAATTTAAAGAGAGAACAACTTACATATATATGCCAAAAATAAGGTTAACTACTATGAAGGGATAGAATATGACTCAAAATGAAAAATAAAGTTTTTTAAGAAAGGGATTGATACGATGTTGGTTGAAAAAGAAAAATTAAAAAAAAAAAGTTAAAAAAAAGTAACTTTGAAAGACTAAAGAATCATGGTAAAAAAGCCATGAATTCTATGTGCAGTATTCCCCTAGCGCTGGAGTTCTGCCGTTCTCATTCATTGGTAAACTCGGTCTTGGCTGGTGGTTCTTGCTGATCTTCTGGGGGAGGGGTCTGTTGCCCTGGTTCCCAAATGTCTTTGCTGGAGGTGGAATCGCCCCGCCCTGCTGGTCCCGGCTAAGTAATCTGCTTGGGTTTGCTCTCGGGAGCTTTTATCCCTGCAAGCTTTCGGTACAGCTTTGGAGGACGAGAGTGAAAATGGTGGCCTCCCAATCTCAGCCGGGAGGACCCGAGACTCGGGGGCCCCACTCCTCAGTGTGCCTCCAGAGAAAAGCAGTCAATCACTCCCGTCTCCCCGGTCTCCGGCCGCCCTCTGCTCACCCGGCCTGTGACCGAGCGTTTCTATCTCTGGCGCACGACCCGGTGTGGAGTCTTCAAACCCAGTAGATCCCTGTGGTCCGTGCTGGGAGAGGTAGGGGAGTCTCCCCGGATCTGCTTCTTGTTGGGTCCCTGCTGGAAGAGCAGGGGCCTGACTGTGCCACGGATCATGGTTTATGGCAACCCCGAGCTGAGAGCCTGCACCTCGGCTCTGTCTCTGCAGCCGGCTTCCCTGCTCTGATACCTGGGAGCTCTGCCGCACTCAGGCACCCCCCGTCTTTCTGTGACCCCGATGGTCCTCAGACCACCTTGTCCCGTGAGGGTTCCACCCCCCACCCCCGCTTAGCCACTGGAGCTATGTCCCTCAGCAGAGCTGACTTCTAAAAGTTCCGATTTTGTGCTCCGCCGTTCTATCACTTGGCAGAAGCAGCCAATGGGCCCCCCCTCCCCCACCATCTATCCTCCCAAATATCGCCTCGGATTCACTTGTCGGCAAGTCCTACCTTCCAGAAAGTGGTCGCTTTTCTGTTCAGAGTTGTTGCTATTCTTTTCTTTGATCTCCTGTTGAGTTCGTAAGTGTTCAGAATGGTTTGATCCCTATCCAGGTGAATTCCTGGGACCAGACGAAATCCAGGTCTCCTACTCTGCCATCTTGCTCTGCTGAACCTGAATATTACTTCTTAAGAGGATTGTCTTTGAAATATTTTTAATGCTTCATATTTGCTTGATGTAGTTTTTATGAAAGATACAGTTCTTTAAAAATAAATTGATTTTTATAGTATCTTTTTCTGTGAAAGAATGAACACGGAAACATTCAGAGCTTTTGTTTTAGAGATATTATCTTGCAGTTTCCATTTTCGATTGTTCAGATGTATGGGAATATATATTCTAATGTAATTTGGGCTTATTTTAGGTATTTTGCTGGAGATCATTCAGCAGTTCTCTGAAGCAGTGTCGATGGGCCTATCCACGCCAGGTCTTCATTTCTGACATTGCTTTAAATAGAAAAGACATTTTATTTGTCACACAAGATGGAGAAGGATTTAGAGGGAAATGGTTTGAAGAAAAAAAAAAGAATTCTGAAAAGAAAGGTGAGTTCATATATGTGAATAGTGCATAAAGTACTTTTCAACCTTTAATTTCACAGGTGTTTATCATTAGGTTTGACAAGTGTTACTAAGGTTTTTACCCTTAAGTCTCCTATTTTGATTTTGGTTTGTGTGTGTGCAGTTAAACAGTGATTTCAATTCACTTAAGTCTGGTTTTCAACCATTTATCTGTCTCAGTATATCCTGAAGTCATGGTGCATTCTTATCAGTAATAGTAGATCACTACTTGGCTCTAGGGCCAGGGAAGTATAAAGTTTTAAGAAAAAACTTCCCAGATGCTTTTAAACCATCTTCCAAGCTCTGTTTTTTCTCTTCTTCCCTAAATTGAGAATTGAGTGGCTTATACTGTATATATATATATATTTTTCCCCCCACTTGTATATTTAAAATTAAAGTTTTAAAAGGTACATTTCATGGCTTAAAGGGAAATTACAGGAAGAATAAAATTTTTATATTAGAATTTTAAAAAATAAAAGTAGTTGAATTAAGCAGTTGCTGAATAGATATGTTTTATTTCATTACTTGATGAATATAAAGGATAGCTTTAATTAAGATGCCACCATTGAAAATAGAAGTTACTCATTATATAGTTCATTCTTATCTGATTATAAATTTATAAATTTTTGAATTACTTGAATTGTTTTTTAACTTAGGTTACCAACTTTTTTCTTTCATCCATAATTATTATCTGTTGATTTTTCTTCTGGAAAAACTAGAATTCATTTACCTCTTCATAGTTCATTGGTCCCACCCTAGCCCTACTCACATGGACTACTGCAAAAAATAGGTTTTCCTTATTTGTACTCTTACTTCTTATCTGTTCTTAACTGATTATCAGAATGATCTTTTAAGATCAAATTCTAATATTCCTGTGTTTAAAACTCTTTAATGGTTTCCTCACTTCCTGAACATTTCCCTGAAAGCTCCTGCTCTGACCCTTGTCTGTGTCTCTGAACTCCCTTTCATTTACCACTCTCCAGTCACATTGACCTTCAGGTTTTCAATTTTGTTTAGTAGTCCCAGGGCTTTTTCTAATTTTTCACATCTCAGCTTTATTTATACTTCATCAGAGATATTTTCACAGATCCCTCAATCTAAATTGAAGTACCGTTTCACTTTTCATATTCCCTTTGTATTTTCATGATGCAAGTCATTTTTGCTTGTTTTTATGGATTTATCTTTGTGATTAATTTTTCTAATGCTTGCCTCCTATCAGACTCTAAGATGGCAAGGACCTTGACTGTTTCACTGTATCCTTAGCATTCAGTATATTTCCTGACACATAGTAGTCCCTCATTAAGTCATCTGTTAAATGAATAAATCAGTTATTGTATGCTAAGACATACATAAGGAACATTTATAATTATTCAGAAAATTATAAACATGTTCTTCAAAATCATAAAGCCACAGTGAAGTGATTAATGATTTGTTGTATTTTTTTTCTTCTAGATTATGCAAGTTGTGTAAACATTTAAAGTAGATTTACTAGGTGTCAGATACAGGGCTACGCTTTATTGATAACAACATATATGTAAGATAGGCCCGTGTTCAGACATTCGTAAGTTTGTAGGGACAATAGACATATACATAACTATTTATAGTTTACAAATACTAATATGCATATGTTAGGTTTTTTGAGAGTGTAGAAATTGCAATAACTGAGTGTTTGGGGGAAGATAAGTGAAGCCCCATAAGACTGAAATAGAGTGAATTTTAGAGAGTAAACAAAATGCAGGTTTGACTTGTAAATGTTGGAAGTCATGGAATTGTATCTTAGTCATATTTAGTGGTCTGAAACTGAATTCATGATCTCATGCTCCCACATTTGCTTTTTAATGTTTTCTATCTAAGTAAATGGTTACCTTTGACACCTCACATCCCCCCACCTCATAGCCGATCAGTCACCAAGTTTTGTCACTTCTATCTCAAGTATTTCTGAAATCTTTCCACTTTTCTCCACTTTTATTGCTACAACTTCAGTGTCTGTTATTCATTCTTTTTTTGGACTCTTATTAAAGTTTCCTAAATGATCTCTTTATTTTTAATTACTTTCAATATTCTTCCTATTGCAGCCAGAATCATTTCTTTGCATGCAAATTTCATACTTTTGTTTCATAGCCTTAATCCAACTTGTAATGATAGAATCATTTGTTTAAATGTCTGTTTTCTGTGCTAGATTGTGTACTCCGAGATGGTAGGGACATGCTTGTCTTGTTCACTACTGTATCATTAGGGACAGACTGATGATCACTGTATCACAGTAGCACAATGTAGTCACTCAGATATTTGGAAACAAATGAACATGCAAATTATGAAAATGCCCAAGTTTACATATTTTTAATGCAAGCTGAGGAATTTTAGAAGCCAGTATAACACTAGATTTGCTTTTTAGAAAGAACTTTGGTTGCAGTTTGGAAGATGGTTTGTTGAAAGGGATAAAATCATGGATAATTGAGAATTGACTAACCAAAATTCCCTGTATAATGCCTGTACATAGGGTGCAAAATATGTTGAAGAGAGAGAGGATATAGTTCTTCAAAAGGACTTATATATGAAAGATATTTCCATGTTTTAATTGTTTTTCTATTTTCTTTACTACTAAACCATTTTAAGAGTTTCAGTAAAGCCTCCATTAATGGAAGTTTGTTTATTTTTCTTTTTAGCAGAGATTTTATCAAATCTTCATAATTCCTCATCAGATGTGTCTTGTGTCTCTGATATAAATAGTGTATATGAAAGAATTCGACTTGAGAAACTTACTTTTGCCCATAGAGCTGTTAGTATCAGCACAGACCCAAGTGGATGCAACTTTGCAATCCTGCAGTCAGATCCTAAAACAAGGTACACTTGTATATATTAAATTTCATTTTTGGAAGGAATAATCCCTGGGCTTTCTTTTGTTTTTAGTAGCTCCTGGAGCAAATTTAATTGAAATGCTTTTGCCAAGACTTGTAGAGGCTTTAGACATAAAATAATGTTACTTGGATAACTCAAAGGTGGAATTTGTTATAGTGGGAATGATAAGTGTTTCTCTTAGTTTGTAAACTGATATTTATTGAAAACATTGAAGATGTATATGCACAAAATTTATATCTTAGTACTTTATGATGTACTCTAGGTTCTCAGATTCTGAGAAATATAAATATTAGTTTGCAAAAACTTGTAACACTTGAAATTAACAAAAGAAGAGGTCGTATAGAGTGATCTGTAGGGTAGTGTGAATCTCAGTGCCAGTCCCCTCTGAGTCACATTAGTAGAGAGGTGACAGGTTAAGATAAATATCAAGGGTCCTACTAGAAAGAAGTCCCAGAAGTAGGCTGACCATCCATACTGGTTTGCCTAGGTCTGTCCCATATTTAGCACCCAAACTCTCATCTACTGGGAAAGCTCTCAATCCAGGGCAAACCAGGAGGATTGTTTTCCATACCTGGAAGGGTGAAATGTGGATTGGGAAGGTGTGATAACCATCTTAGGTACTGAAAGAACCAGCGTTATGGACTGATTGTATGTCTGTATTTGTATTTATCTTTATCTTTACTTCCTGAGGTTTCTAACCTATTCTGGTATTTGACCTGAAGTATTTGCTCAGTTCTTTGTATATTTGGTTTTCTTCACTTAAATAAAGGATAAAATAAAAGGATACAAAAGGTTGACAACTGTACTCTTTTTTTTGGATGTTTTTAGTTTTATAGTCATTTGTGTTTAGTTATAGTCATTTAAAAAATTTCTATGAAATGGTCGTTTGAATTTATATTCTTGTGTTTCCTTGTGGAAATAGAAAACACTGCTTTCAAAGGAAAACTTAAATCTTGTCATTTTAGTTTAGGAGAAAAATATAAAAAGGAATAAAAACATTTTTGAAGTATGATACAGTATCTAAGACTTTGCAATATTCTTATATTTTAGGAAATGCCAGGTTTAAAATCTTATAAGTTTAATAACTAAAAGAGAAATTGTACTTTAAAAGGAGAATTGACTAGGGATGCTTTTTTTTCATGAAAGTAAAAATGATCTTTGTTTCATTTCTAGCCTTTATGAAATTCCAGCTGTATCGTCATCATCCTTTTTTGAAGAGTTTGGCAAACTCTTAAGGGAAACAGATGAAACGGACAATATACATGATGTGACATTTCAAGTTGGCAATAGAATTTTCCCTGCACATAAATATATTTTGGCAGTGCATTCTGACTTTTTTCAGAAATTGTTTCTTTCAGATGGGACCTCTTTAGACTTTACAGATGTTTACCGGAAAGATGAAGATTCTGCAGGATGCCATCTCTTTGTGGTAGAGAAGGTTCATCCCGACTTGTTTGAGTACCTTTTGCAATTTATATACACAGATACTTGTGATTTTTTAATTCATGGCTTCACACCAAGAATAAACTTAAACAAAAAGCCGGAAGAATATCAGGGCACTATGAATTCTCATTCAAATAAAATGAATTGCCATGAAGATAATCAGAAGTCAGCATTTGAAGTTTACAGAAGTAATCAAGCTCAAACAGTTAATGAAAAGCAGAAAAGCAAACCAAAATCTTCCAATAAAGGGAAAAGTATTGGGGAAGATGATCCTGTAAGAATGTTGCAAAATGTTGCAAAGAAATTTGGTTTCAGTAATTTGAGTAGTAGGTAGGCTCCTCCTTAATATCTATTGAACCTCATTATGTCCTTTTAAAAATTTTTCTCTTTTTCTTTGCTAGTCCTCTTTTCCCCTCCCTCAACTCCTTCCTTTTTAGATATGTTTTTTCTCCAATTTCTGCTAAAACTATCTCTGTAGGACTCCCTGGATTAAAACTGTGGAGGCTCTTAGTGGGTTTGAACTCTACGTGGTGTTTGTGTAACAGGAATCTGGAATGGTAGGCAGTGTGGTATACTGGAAAGAGTACTATCTTTGAAGTTAGACCTATATATGCCTCCTAGCTCTACTATGACTAGCTGGGGCAGATTTCTTAGTTTCTTTGAACTTCAGTTTTCAGTATATAAAAGGGAGGGATAATAGTGATCTCAAATTGTTGGTGTAGTTCTGTCATATAGCATGTGTAAAGTGCCTAAGACAGATTTGTCATATAAACCAGATTCTTTGGAATTCTCTCTTTTTTTAAGGTATGTATGTTGCTTGTGGCGGTATAACCTAATATGTGGGGTAGGAGTAGAGGAGGAGCATGTATCAGGTTTCCTGTTAAAAGCACCGAGGGGCTTTGTGCTATGGCTTTGATATGTTTTTTGTCAGTAATTATATTTAATGTGCAGTTGACCCTTGAAAAACATGGACTTGAACTGTGCAGATTCACTTGTATTAAGATTGTTTTATGATAAATTCAATACAGTACTGTAAAAGTATTTTCTCTTTATGATCTTAATAACATTTTCTTTAGCTTCTTTTATTGTAAAAACAATATGTAATGCATATAACATACAAAGTATAAGCATACAAATCTATTATTTATGTTATTGGGAAGGCTTCCAGTCAACAGTGGGGTATTAGTTAAGTTTTGGGGGAGTCAAAATTATATGCAGATTTCAACTCTGTGGGGGGGCGGGGCATAGTGGTGACTCTAACTCCTGCACTGTTCAAGGATCAACTGTACTTTGAAGTAAAATTGAAGGAGAATATGTGGTACTCCTTTATTTTTTTTTTATTTTTTTTTTTTTAAAGATTTTATTTATTCATTCATGAGAGACAGAGAGAGAGAGGCAGAGGGAGAAGCAGGCTCCCCGCCGAGCAGGGAGCCCGATGCGGGACTCGATCCCAGGACCCTGGGATCATGACCTGAGCCGAAGGCAGATGCTTAACCATCTGAGCCACCCAGGTGCCCTGTGGTACTCCTTTAATGCAGAGTAGAGTTTGTCGAGATACTTTTCAAGGTGATATAAATTATATAATTATGTTCAGATGTAAGGTAATTTGTTGAATTTCTGTTGTTTGTTTTGGTCCATCAACTGCTAATTTTTATCTATTCTTGATAGGTTAGATGGAGTCAAATTTGAAAATGGAAAAATTAATGTTATTGAGAAGAAACCTGGTACTAAATCAAAGCTAAACCAGAAAAAATGGTAAGTTAGGAAATGAAGATAAACTTTTCATCTCTAGATTTTGAGACCTAAGTGTGAAAACAGAGCTGTTCTTACTGACATATGAAGCAAAATATATGAATAGATACCCTTTTATCTTTACTAGTCTTCGTTTCTAGAAATGTTGGAGAGATGTTGAGGTAAATGGATAAAAATATTAACTGCTCAATAAGACATTGAAACAGTTCATTTTTAAATTATTTTCTAATGAAAAAATTTTTAATTTTTATTTTTCCTTGCCCAAATTTTGTATTTTTCAATATGTAGGAAATGATGTTAACCCAAAACCAAACTGCCTCTTCATCATTATGATGATTTCCTTTAGTATAAGCTTTTTCAGTAATAAATATACTATTCTAAATATGTTATTAAAAATTTTTGTTTTTAGGTAGGGGAAAAGTTTTGGAGAAAGAAAAACTGGAGATATCTAGACTTGTGCATTAGCAAAGAATAGGTTGTAAAAAGAAGTGAATTAAAGACCTTTGACTGTGATGTCACTTACTATTATATTATTAACACCTGGTCTGTAATGCAAAAGGAAAATTAGAAGAAAGACTTTTTTTGAATATTTATCTGTGTTCAGTTCCTTTTAAATATTATCTTTATTGTAAGGCCCTGATTATCTTTCCTCAGGTGGAAGGAGATGAAGTATTTTATTTGTATGTAAAACCTCAAGTTGTTTGTTCTCTGCTATCTTTAAGAGAAAATCAACTTAAGCCAAATCCTATAATAAGTTTTCTATTTGCTAAATATGTAAAGAAATCACTCTCACTTCAATTAAAAAAAATTTTTTTTTCAGTTCATTTCTATGTGATGTGACCATGAAATCAGTGGATGGAAAGGAATTTCCTTGTCATAAGTGTGTTCTTTGTGCTAGACTTGGTAGGTATACTTTTTGTTAGTTGCTGATTTATTTGTTTTAGTATTGTTTCACTGTTCTAATGAATTGTACTTTTTCTTCTCCCAGAATATTTTCATAGTATGCTGAGTAGCTCATGGATTGAGGTAAGATTTAAGTTGAAGCCACATGGCTGGTAATCACACTTTTTTTATTTTTGGGAAATTACATACTAAAGAAATTCAGAATGGGAACCTGGTATTTTAACTCAGTTTTACTTTTGTTTTAAACTTTATTTATGCTCTAGCCTCCTGGAAAATAGCAACATTTATAATTAAAAATTGTTACAGAAAAGCTTCTTAGGTCAGAATTTCCCCTTTATTATTGGGATATGTGTTTGGAATACCAGTGTGATTGGTTTTTGTTTCAGTCTTTCTTCATTGTCCATGTTACAAGTGTTTTTAAAATTAAATGTATGTCATTTTAGATTTGTGTTTTATAAATGTTATGTTCTTTTGCATTTGATGTGATTCCTTTTCAGAGTTTTCTGTTCCAGTCAGAATGCGGTAGTTTTTTGTAGTTTAAAATTAATTATTTTACTTTATTTTATTTAGGCTTCCACTTGTACAGCTCTGGAAATGCCAATACATTCTGACATACTGAAAGTTATTTTGGACTACCTCTATACTGATGAAGCTGTGGTGATAAAAGGTATTAATAAGAGGACGTTTTAGATATTTAAGATAAAATTGAGTAATGGCAAAATCAACATGAGTTGATTTTTTTCATCTTTCATAATTTTTCATATATTTTTAATAATATAATGTGGTAACTCTTGAAATCAGATTCTCCTCCCTCCCCAGGGTTTATTGTTTGTGCTATTTGTTTATTGACTGTTCTGAACTAATTAATTCTGTAAAATCTCTGTTCTTTGTCTGTGTGACCACTAAAGTTTCTGCTGGGTTAGCTTAGTGGTCAGCTAATAATTAGAAATTTCCTTAAAGGCCTAAAACCAATAAATTCCCAGCCTTTGCCACAGAGTTCTTTGTGTATGTTGGGGCATGCCTTCATTTCTCAAGCAGGCAGTTTATGACTCTGCTTTAGCTCTTACTGTCCGCTTAAGTAGAGCCTCATGTCCAGCCAAAGGTAAAAATTTAGGACCTTAAGTTTTTCCTTGGCATGTATATAGTCTGTATGCGTGTGGCCTTCTAGATTGACAGCAGTGTGTTGGAACTTTTCAAAACCCCCTATGGACATCCATATTAGTCAGCTGGAACTGGCATAACAAAATACTGTAGATTAGGTGGCTTAAAGAACAGAAATTCATTTTTTCATAGTTCTGGAGATTAGAAGTCTCAGATTAGGGTTTGACAAGGTTGGTTTCTGGTGAGGACTTTCTTCTTGGCTTATATATGGATGCCTTCTTGTTATGTCCTCACATGACCTTTCCTCTATGCGTGCGTGCGTGCGTGTGTGTGTGTGTTTAGGGAGGGGGGAGGAGGGAGGGAAATGGATATCTCTTTGCTATCTCTTTTCTTAGAAGGACCCTAATCCTATTGGACCAGGGCTCTACTCTTATATAACTTCATTTATCCTTAATTACTTCCTGAGAGGCCCTATCTCCATATACAGCCACACTGGAAATTAGGGCTTCAACATGTGAATTTTCAGGGAACACAAACATCCGGTCATAATAACATCTCTTTTCCTTTTTAAAATTTTTATTTATTTATTTTTAAGAGATTGTATTTATTTGAGAGAGAGAGGGCACAAGCAGGGGGAGTGGCAGGCAGAGGGAGAGAGAAAAGCAGGCACCCCACTGAGCAGGGAGCCTGATACGGGGCTCGATCTCAGGACCCTGCGATCATGACCTGAGCTGAACGAGACGCTTAACCGACTGAGCCACCCAGGTGCCCCCACCTTTTTTTTAAAAAAACCTTTTTTTTTTTTTTAAAGATTTTATTTATTTATTTGAGAGAGAATGAGAGAGAGAGAGAGCACATGAGAGGGGATAGGGTCAGAGGGAGAAGCAGACTCCCTGCTGAGCAGGGAGCCCGATGTGGGACTCGATCCCGGGACTCCAGGATCATGACCTGAGCCGAAGGCAGTCGCTTAACCAACTGAGCCACCCAGGCGCCCTAAAAAAACCTTTTTGATCTGCTTCTTGTTTGCTCCATCTGTTATCATTGTCTTAGTCAGCTTCAGTGTTAAACAGTTGCTATTGATTGTTTTTAATAAATGCCCTGAGGGAAGAGGCTATTCAGACCAGTAAAGCTTTGAGTCAGGTCAAAATAAAGACAAGCCCTGCTAGTGGGATTTCCAGGGAACTGCCAGGCATGTCAAATAATGACAGTTCTTTGATAATGTTGCTTCATAACTCTTCTGCCTCCTTCAATGGCTATAGTTGTTCATTTCCACTGTGACGGCAGGGTTATTGGTTTTTAAGACTACTGTGGAGGAGGAAAGAGGAGGATTTAAATAGAAAAAGCTACAGTGTCCTGTTGCTCACTGTTCCTGGTAAGATTCAGCCATTTTTCTTGAGTCAACATTCCCCAAATTATTGCAAGCCTTTGGCTAATTTCTCGAATTTTGAAAAAGTTGATTTTGACAATTTTCATTGTATCTTCATTGCTTTTGTGGAGAAGAGGAGTTCTGGAAGTAGTCCTTAGTTTGCCATTCAGTGACTTCACCTCTTCCTCCTTTGTTAAAAATGATTTTTCTATTTTTTCTTCTTAGTTTTTTTTTCCTTCCTAGTGTGGTTTTGTTTTGTTTTGTTTTTGTGTTTATGTTGGTTATTCTGGCAGTGTCTCAGGGTGATTGCTCAAGGCCATTAGTTTTACTCAGGACTGAGGTTATTTTAAATTAAGGAACTCCTATAGTTTAAAAAGAAAGTGTACACTTTATTTAAAACAAAAATGATTATCTAAGATCATTATTCATCTCCCCCCATATACATGTATATGTTTGTTCTTAACATATGTATCTAGTAGCCTTCTAGACTAAAAAGATAATTCAAGTTGTCCATTTTATGTCCTAGTGTGAGCCAGGACATTTTGATGTGTTTCTTTCCAGCTTTCTACTTAAAGGTAGAAAATTCTCACGTTATTACTATTTATCATAGTTGCCATTGCAACATTTAGAAAATAGTCATAATTATCTTTGTTTCTTAATTACTTAGAACTTTTTTCATAGGTATAATGTTTACAAAGTAATAGTTTTGCTTGTTTTCTTTTTTTTAGAATCTCAAAATGTGGATTTTGTGTGTAGTGTTCTTGTGGTAGCTGATCAGCTTCTTATAACTCGATTGAAAGGGATTTGTGAAGTAGCATTAACTGAGAAACGTGAGTATTTTTTAATTTGAATATTACTATGTTTTCAGGTTGGTACAGCATTATTCATTGACTTTATTATTCCATTTGTGGTAAAATGCACCATTGTTTTTCTGAATCATGAAAAATGTTAAAACATTTAAGCTATTTTGTGTCATTGTAAGCACATTTCTTATTTCACATGTGTTAATATGTGAAAATATGTACATCTTATAATGGAAATATGTTAAGTTTGAAATGTCGTAAAACCTTGGATAATGAAGATGATAGGAAATTTATTTTGAAATTTCAAAGATGAGTGTTTGAAAGAAGTTTTTTCCTTTTGCCCTGGTCTTGGCTATAAGTTTGTGTTTAGCTACCTATTACTTACTATTTGCTGGAATTTTTATATAATTTTCCCATTTATGTATTTGATCAAAACACATCTCTTTTCTCTTAAACTCTTATTTCTTTCTCTGTTCATTATTTCATTTAATGAATACTTCATTATTTTTTTTTAAGATTTTATTTATTTGTCAGAGAGCGAGAGAGAGCACAAGCAGGGGGAGCAGCAGGCTCCCCACTGAGCAGAGAGCCCAGTGCGGGACTTGATCCCAGGACCCTAGGATCATGACCTGAGCCGAAGGCAGACACTTAACCAACTGAGCCACCCAGACATCCCTGAATACGTCATTATTTCAGTTAATTGCATTGCTTTCTTTTTGAACATTCAACTTTTGAAACCCAAAGCTATCTTTTATGTTGTTTTGTTCTTTACATCCAAATTCTTTCAGTTGCCAGAACTGATGCATCTTAACTATATTTATTGACCACATTTCCCCTTCCTTTTTATTCTGTCACTATGCTAGTTGAGGTCACTGATATCCATCCCTTTTGTGTAGTGTCACAGTGATCTTTTAAGTCCTCTTTCTCTCCACTTCTCTTTTTTTAATCTTTCTGTTGGAAGTAATTATGTCTTCCTCTCTTGAGGTATTTTTAATTGCTTACTCTAGGATAAAGGTTAAGTTTTCTTAGCCTGATATAAAAGATTCTAATTTTATCTTTGTTCATCTTCATTGTCATATTTCCACTTTAGGAAGTATGAAGGAATTTCCTGTCAGGATTTTCTAATTTGTACTTGCTGATAGTTTGTCTTAGCTATAGTGTCTTATTTACTTACTTTTCTTGAGCTTTATGGAATATCTTCTTCTTGGTTATCAAAAAGAACAACAGTTCTAATCTTTTAAGCTAGAAAATGGAAATGTTTGTTACATCCTTTATTTTAACGTAACAGGAATAAAGTATACATATTGGAGATATTTTCAGCTGCTCAGCTGACTTTTTCTGGCACTGCTTGTATATTCTTTTTTGGCCCATGCTGCACAACTGTCTTATAAATGAATATCTTGATCATCCTAGAACCTAGCAAGAGAAGTGTTCAACAGAAGTCTGGTCTCTCAGTATTGGGCAGTCCTTGTTCCCAGCTGAACAACTCTAAAATTTTTGTATGATCCATTTTTGTGAAATGGGAGACTTTGGTTTCATAATTAGTAGAAACTTTAGGTTTGGTTAGGAGTGGGACAAAGACCACTCTTGACTGCATTTATACCTTTTGACAGAGTTACAAGGGAGAAAGAAAAACAAATGTGGAGTAAGCCAGGTACAGAAAAGTTGTGTCCCTCTGTTGGTTAGAACTCACAGTAAATAAAGAATGGAGGGCTTTGGGAAGCCAAAGTTATAAGCTAGGTAGGTAGAATATTCTGAGATGGTCTCTAGCAAAATAGGACACTTTGTATATAAAGCTACTAGGATTGTAATAAAATCCAGAATCTTTTATACAGTATGCCAAATTCTGCACTGGCATGAATAATAATACAGTCATATTTAAATGTAATTATTTTCCAAATACATAGTGTGTGTATTTGTTTATATAAATATACTCACATAAAATTCTGATGGATTACTCAATGTAAATATATTTTATAGACTGATTTCATCAGTTTCTCTTAGTCTTTTTTAAAATTACCCTTAACATTAGCCTTGACTTTTTTTAAATTTATCTTTTATTTTTAAGCATATTTTATTTTTTAATTTTTTTAAGTTATCTCGATGCCCAACATGGGGCTCAGTCCCACCCGAGGATCAAGAGTTGCAGGCTCTACTGACTGAGCCAGCCAGGTGCCCCTAGTTTCTCTTAGTCTTAAGATCTTTTTAGTTTTGTAGAAGAGAGAATAACTATTCTGTGCTATATAAATGAAGAGGAAAGTTGTTTATCGATGGAAGTTAAAACTATTCTAAAAATGTTAGGTGGAAGATTGTCAATTCTTATGTATTTGCTTTTAGATGACACTGTAACACATCATCTGTATTTTCTTTTGGTGTGCTTATTTCTCCTCATAACCAATCATTTAAAATTACTTTGGCACCCTGGGATGGAAAAGAGCATTCTAAATTTGCCTTAGTATAAGCTGTTTTGGCAAGAAACTACTTTCAGTTTTCCTTGTTGTTAATGTTCAAAGCTGACAACTTTAAAAATAAGTATATTGTATTTGCTGTAGTAACATGACTTTCAGCTCATTTTGAGTATCTTTTCTTTGTAGTTACCCTTAAGAATGCTGCTATGGTACTGGAATTTGCAGCAGTGTATAATGCTGAACAATTGAAACTGTCTTGTTTACAGTTTATAGGACTGAATATGGCCGCTTTACTTGAAGCAAGGTAGGTTGGGTGCATACATTATATGACTGTTGCAAAAGCAATTACTTATATATAATAGCAGATTTGTTAGTAATTTAAAAAGGCATAACGATAAATTACAGCTTTGTAGAAAATAAAAATGTAAGGGGATGCAGTCATTCCATCAGTATTTGAGTGCCTAATATATGTTAGCCACTGCTAAGATACAACAGTGAACGAAACAGACAAAATTCTTGACCTTAATGGAGAGCTTCCATTCTTGGAAATTTGTGGGAAAATGTTATAACAAGAATTTTCTTTATATGTATGCATCTCTTTTCTTGTTTAGGCTGATTTACAACTATAATTGTTACCTAGGCTTTTGGAAACTATATATAATACTAATTAAGACAGCACATAATTATTTCACATGTAAGCATGTGAAAAATTTGTTACTAGTTGATTTCCTTTTCTCTTTGTATTTTTCTCTTTGGATATTTCTTATATGACATATTGCTTCTTTAGTCAAACTTAGGCTGCAGCTGATGGCCTGAAAAATTTAGTTGGTTTAATTTGTTGCAAGCTGGTATGAATATTCAAGTCTTTATGTTGAAATCAGTGAGTAATGATTCTTAGAAAAATAACACATTTTATATAAAACAATTGGCTAAACATATACACCCTATTTTATAAGCTAGTATTTCATACTATTGATGTTTACTTGGATTGAAAAAATTTGATAAATGGTAATAATTTAGGAATCGTAGGTATTAGAATTAGAGGGATTGTTTTCAACTGTCTTAGTGGAATCTAATGAAATAAATTTACAGATTTATTTTTTAATATAAGGTCAGATTTTTATTACTAAAAAGTCAGTAGTGAGAAAAATGAGTGTTTTGGTAAACATAAGTTTTAGATGAGAGTTCTTCATGTCACTTGGCATTTTTGAAGCTTCACTATCATTTATTTCTGTATTTTGTTTTAGTCATAATAATGATAACTAATACTATGTGCCAGGGAGCATTCTAAAAGTGTTATGCACTCAGTTGATTTTCATGGAAACCTTCTGATGAAGTAGATTCTTTTTATATCCTCATATTATAGATGAGAAAACCCAGGAACCATTTTTTGGAAAGAATCAAAATCTTGATCCATATAATTTATTATAAATGGTAACAGATTTTTGCTATCTCACCTTTCAAAGTCAGGATAATCTTTAATGAAACTAATTCTAAAATATGATTGAAATAAAAGTGTTCTGATTTTTAGAGGTGAATCACTAACAGATTCTTAATAATTGCTACATAGGGTTCAATTCAGAGGAAATTCTTTTGGCAATATAATGCTTTGTTATTTTGTGAAAATGCTTTTCAAATGCAAATTAATGTTATGGGATATTAGACATATGTGACTTTATTTTATTTTATTTTATTTTTAAAAAGATCTTATTTATTTGAGAGAGAGAGAGAGCTTGCACACAAGTAGGGGGGAGGAACAGAGGGAGAACCAGACTCCCCGCTGATCAGGGAGCCTGACGTGGGTCTCGATCCCAGAACCCTGAGATTATGACCTGAGCCAGAGGCAGAGGCTTAACCAACTGAGCCACCCAGGCACCCCTAGACAATGTGATTTAAAATGCCTCTGGTATTTTAGTATCAGAACCTGGCTAGGGTTTCAGAATAAATTTCTTTGCTGACGTTACATTAATAATTGTAATCAAAGCAGTCTTTTTTTTTTTTACTTTGCCTTGCCAAATTAAGCTCATTCAGTTTGTCAGATAAGAGTCAACCAAAATGCAAAACAAGCACCAAATCTAAAATATGATATTGGAAAATGATGTGTCTTAGTACCATTGTTCAATTGTTATGTTGTGACAAATGTATCATGTGAATCATTAAAAATGGTACATGTGCTGTGGTGATGTCTACTTGTATAATTTTACGTGAGTAGGTATGCGTAACTTGCATTAAAACAAAGATTTGTACAAATTTAACCATTCCTTATCAAATATGTTTCCTAGGAGTATTAATAAATATGTACAGAGATGTTAAAAAAGGAAAGCTGCACCAAACTGATATAACATCACAGGTTAATTATCGTCAAAATGTTAAAACTGGTATGGTACAGATTTGATTAGGCAAGTTGTTTTGCATTTGTAAAAACAGTTTAAAATATATTTTAGAATGTAAGCTTTGATTTAAGTTTTCACTGATGCCTTAAAAGTATCTCTTTGGAACTTGAGAGTTCCTTGAAATTTACTTTGAATACATCTGATCTAGTCCAAACCATTATTTTATGCATCACGAACATATTAAAGTCCAGAGAGGTAAAGTGAGTTGCTCAGAGTCATGCAGGTAACTGGTAGCATTGATAGTTCTAGATAGAATTAAGGTATTGTGATAGGCCATTGTTCTATCAGTATAGTACTCCTTCTGTAGCTTAGAGATTGGAAAGTTGGAAAATGAATACATGGTCTCTGATTTACCATGGTTTGACTTAGGATTTTTCAACTTTATGGTGGCGTGAAAGTGATAAACATTTAGTACACACTGTACTTTGAATTTTGATCTTTTCCCCATGCTAGTGATAAATACTACGATACTCCTTGGTGATCCTGGGCAGTGGCAGTGAGCCACAGTTCCCAGTGACATACAGGAACACAAGGGTGTAAACAACTGACAGACTTGTTTTTTACTTTCAATGCAGTAATTAATAAATTACATAAGATATTCAATACTTTATTATAAAATAGACTTTGTATTAGATGATTTTGCCCAACTGTAGGCTAATGTATGTGTTTTGAGCATGTTTAAGGTAGTTTAGACTAAGCTGTGATGTTCAGTAAGTGGGTATATTTAAATGTATTTTTGACTTAAGAGATTTTTAACTTTTGATGGATTTATTGGGATGTTGAGGAAGAACTTTAGTTGCTATTTTGCTACAATATAAATGATAGAAAATCTTTTCTAAGAGTTGAGTTTTATTGAAGATGTTTGTCTATATATATTGCTGTTTATTTGAAATATACAACTATACATACTTCCAAAAGAATGTGTAGCAGCCGGCATATTAATGATTTAAAAAATAATTGTTACTTATTCAGCAATGTAAAATATCTCTACATTTTTGAAAATCTTGGTGAGTATTAAGTTAAAGTCTTAAGATAGAATTTTGTTATCTTGTTTTTTAGGTCTCTTGATGTTTTAAGTGATGATGTTTTGAAGGATCTTTCTGTGTTTTATAGGAAAATGGTAAGGTTTATGTTTTTTTCAATAATATGATCAAACTAAAGTAGTACTGTTAGGTCAGACTTCTCAGTGGAATAATTTCCTAATGAATTCTAATATATTAGGATCTTTTAAAAATGAGGATGTAAATTTTTTTACAGATCCCACAGGTTAGTATGATAATCAAAATTGAAAATATTTAATGATAAAATTATCTAATTCCTTTATAAATGAAGTTATTGAAAGCTTTTTGAGTCTTTCATTACCAAAGGTCAGGACAGTACAAAAACATGGATTCACATGATCCCTAAGAAATGGATTAATTTGTATTTGATAATAAAGTAGAGCTTTTTTGAAAAGTTTTGACAGTTTTTTAGAATAAATGAATGAATCTAATTAGTTTTTCCCATTGTTGTAAACTTAGGAAGTCATTAGGCATTCTAGACTTTTCCTTGTTAATGTCACCACATACCAATATAAACAAGTGGGATATACCTATTTTTAAAAAAAAGTCTTTACACATTTTGTATTTAACAAGGGACACCTTTTTTTTTTTTAAAAAGATTCCAGCAATGGATAGAAGAGTCATTACACCATATCAAGATGGACCAGATATTAGCTATTTGGAAGTAGAAGATGGAGATATCTTTTTGAAAGAAGAAATAAATTTGGAACAAAATTATTCGTAAGCATTGTTTCTCTTTTTTTTTTATTTTATTTATTTATTTGACAGAGAGATAGCAAGAGAGGGAACACAAGCAGGGGGAGTGGGAGAGGGAGAAGCACTGAGCAGGGAGCCCGACGTGGGGCTCGATCCCAGGACCCTGGGATCATGACCTGAGCTGAAGGCAGATGCTTAACCATCTGAGCCACCCAGGGTGCCCTTCTCTTTTTTTCTTTTCCTTCTTTTCTTCCCTCCTCCCCTTCTTTCCCCCTCCCCAATCTTTTACACTATTAACAGTTTTATGCTGAAAGAGAAAAATTGGAGAATCCTGACATAAGAAGTATGTACTTATGTTTATTCTTAGCCTTATTATAAGAAAGTAAGTGCATAATTATTTGCAGATGTAACAAAATTAACTGTAAATATAAAAGGAACACAACCTTTAAATTAACATGTGTGGTTGAATAAGTGCATTTATCTTAGCTACCTTCCCAAACCCTGCTGAAATTATAAAGAAATAAGAAAGGCATATTGCACTAGAGAGAACAGGAAAGGAGAAAACAGCAGTTAGGAGATGTACAGTTTTGGAAGTTGGAAAGTGGTTACCGAGAGTAATGACTTAGAAAAAAACTAAAACAGAATTCCAGAAAGCCTTAAGAATTAGAGATAGCAAGTTTGAAGATCAGAGTGAGTGGTTAGATTTGGAAAAGAGCATTTTTTAATATTCTTTCAAAGAGCATTGACCTCTTTCTGAACCCCTCCCATCCATCTTGACAGAAAGATTTGCCCTCTGGAGAGTTTGAACCTAAGAGGAATGCATTGCCACTATGGATTTTTTTCTGTAGAGAACCTGACTGGTTCAAGAGATAGGACCTATAGTGACTGACATTTGGGAATTCCCCAACAAAATATCCCAAGTTCTTCAATATCTCCCTTTGTGTGGCCAACCATTTAGCAAGCCCTGTTTAGAATTTCCAGTCTGTGTCTTAGGCTCACTTATCAACTGGTTACAGAATTACTTTCCTTCTACTTGATAAATGACTTGTTAAAATCTTTGGGCATTCAAGTAATTTACTACACACACACACACACACACACACACTCTCTCTCTCTCTCTCTCTCTCTCTCTCTCTCTCTCTATGTATACTAACTGTGTAGCTCACTGAGAAACTGGTCTTGGGTTCCAGAGGTTTTTTTAACCCCTTTTCTAGAGTTTGTTAGCATTTAGGTTACTTGAAGTTTTTGATATCTGATTATTTTACTTTTCCATGTATTTTCCTATAAATTATCTTATTTCTAACTTTCACAGAAATAGTAGAGTTAGAACAAGTTGAATTTCAGTGAAACGGAATAATTTGCTCTGGGCCATATAGATAAATGCAACTAGAGCATGCATATTTTTTGTGTTCTCTGACTAAAATGCTATATATATTCTTTTGCTCAAAATACATAGTTCTGTTGTTAATCTGTAACTTATTTCTAAAAAATGAATTTTATATTTGCTTTTTTCCTAGGGAAAGTATGTTCAAGAAGGCAAAAACAAAAGCAAAAAAGAAGCCACGTAAGCGTTCAGATAGTTCTGGAGGTTATAACCTTTCAGATGTTATTCAGAGTCCACCATCTACAGGTTAGTGAAAGTGTCTTAGGATATATTTCCTGATCTAATCTTTCATGTCTCTGTTCTCTAATTGATTTAACATGTATTAAATACTATTGTATGCCACTTGCCAGGCCTACTGTAATAGAAAGTAGTCTTTGTCTTAGGAGGCTACAGAAAATGATAGTATATTGTAATAAATATTCTGATTGAAATTTGCTTTGGGAGCACAAAAGAAGAGCCCATATTAGTCTGAGAAGATCAGGGAAGTCTTTTAGAGGAAAATAGTATGTGAGTTGCATCTTGAAGAATGAGGAGGAGTTGGCCAGTATGCTCCCAAGACTAGAGGCACTAGAAAGAACTGCACATTTTTTATGCTTATGGTTCAGCATGACTCAGCCATATAGGGTATGTGCAGATAGATGGTAGTTGAAAACTGGTCAGATTTTGGAGGCATTTTATGACAAACTAAGGAATTTGAATTTTATTCTGAAGGCTATGGGTAGTTGATGGATATATAATTTTTTGGAGAGGGAGAGATAGGGGGGAGGGGCAGAGGGAGAAGGAGAGAGAATCCCAAGCCGACTCCACACCCAGCGTGAAGCCTGATACGGGGTTTGATCTCACCCCGAGATCACGACCTGAGCTGAAATCAAGAGTCAGATACTCCACCAGCTGAGCAACCCATGCACCCTGGGTGCATGGATATTTAAGGCGTATGATGTGAGTGGATAAAATTTATGTTTTTAGAAAGACCACTCTGTCTAGTGGCATAGAGGATTAGAGATATACAAAATATGACAGAGATACTGTTATCACATGGATTCATTTCATTTATATCAGTAATCCAATGCACATGCCATTCATGTGCGTTAGGAGGTTATAATCCAGTAAAATAATACAACACCTTTCATCTCTATGCATTATGTGAGCTGTCTGAAAGTAAAGGTTAGGGGCGCCTGGGTGGCTCAGTCGTTAAGCATCTGCCTTCGGTTCAGGTCACGATTCCAGGGTCCTGGGATCAAGCCCCCATCAGGCTCCCTGCTCAGCAGGAAGCCTGCTTCTCCCTCTCCCACTCCCCCTGCTTGTGTTCCCTCTCTCCCTGTCTCTCTCTCTGTCAAATAAATAAATATAATCTTTAAAAAAAAAAAAGTAAAAGTTATGTAGTTTTTCTAAAATTTTTTCTGTTTAATTTGAAAATCTTTTACTGAAAAGATGAAGAAAAATGAAAATCTGTATACCCTTCTTTCAGATATACTGTTAACCTCTTACCACATTTACTTTTTCATACAGACTTTCTGTTGCATGCTCTCTTCCCTCATCCTCTAAACATTCTATACATTTTTTATAGATCCACTTGGAAGTTGTAGGCATGACATTTTAATGTAAATTAATATTAATGTGAATCTCCTAAGAATAAGGATATTCTTCTACATAACCACAGTATCGTTATCACATCTACAATATCATCACATCTAAGACAATTGACATTAATTCACTAATATTATCTAGTATTATAGTCTCTATTCAGATTTCCCTGATTGTCCAAGAATGTTTTTATAGGCTTTTGTGTTTTAACCTTAAAAAAGACCTAGTATCCTATGAAGATAGACATTGCCTTTGTTTATTAATGTCTCCTTAGTCTCTTTTAACTAGAGCAGCACCTCTCACACCTTTTTGTTTTGTTTCCAAAAGTTCAGGCCAGTGGTATAGACTGTTCCACATTCATCTGATTAGATCCAGATTAAACTATCTAAATTTTAGTAGTTTCTTTCAGTGAAAATATGGAAATGTGACCATAAAATAATGAGACTACAGTATGGCTTTAAGAACTTATATGTGTGTCTATAGCAGTAAGACATAAACAGGTGCAATTTCTATCAGTATTTTCATGCAAGTGTTTGTGTCCCTGTTGGAGGAGGGAGTTGTCATTCAGGGTAAAGAAAGAATGTCTTTTTATGTTTAACACGATCTACAAATTAGTTACTTGATGTGTTCGGTAATGCTCAAAGGATAAATCATGTCAAGAATAGTTACTTTAGATAACACAAAAAGATATATAAAATATACCTAAATATAAAAAAGATAATATATCTAAATTGATTGATGAAGCACTAAAGATAGGTCTTTCACATTTACTACATCTCTTGATTCCTGTTTTAGGATCCTTCAAAATGTAAAATTCTGTGATTTTGTGTTCTCTGTGTTACATGAGTTACCTCTAGTCCTTAGAAGGACACATGGAAAGATGAATAAATGGATAGACAGATAGTCATGAAACTAGTGATTTCCTAGTCGCCTAAAAGAGTTAGGGAAAAAGCAGATATTTGGTTTTATTTACTTATTTATTTGAGAGACCATGAGTGGGGATGGGGGAGTGTGAAACAGGGAGAAGAACAAACAGACTCTACGCTGAGCACAGAGCCTGACATGGGGCTGGATACCAGGACCCTGAGATCATGACCTGAGCTGAAACTGAGTCTTATGGCTTGACCAGCTGAGCCACCCAGGCACCCCTATTTGGTTTGCTTTAAGTAGTGGTATTACTAGCACATGTGTTAGAATCTTAGCATTTATAGCTGGAAGAGACATTAATAATGAGCTAGTTTATGTCTCTTCCTTTAAACCTGAGGAAACAAGCTTAGAAAACTAGTGATTTGAGGTAGTGCCAGACAGAAATAGAATTTATTTTTTCAGTTCCAGTTCTGTGTTCTTTGTGCTATACCACTTTTTGTGGCCAAAGCAGATAATGATTTAAAGGTCAAATTTAAACTGGGGACCAAAAAGACCTGTTTTGGAAGTAAATTTATTTTTGTTGATCCTTACCATTAGACAAAAGACATTCTGTGAAAATGATTTACACTAAAAATAATTGTTGGCCACTTTAAACATCATCTTTATTCATTAGATTTATTTCTAATTGACTTTTGGGAGCATTCTGGCATTAAATATACTCTCTTAGATAAAAATTTTCTGCTGGGTGCCTGGGTGGCAGAGTCGGTTAAGCATCTGATTCTTAGTTTTGGCTCAGGTTGTGATCTTGGGATCATGAGATCCAGCCCTGCGTCCTGCTCCGTGCTCAGTGTGGAGTCTGCTTGGGATTCTCTCTCCCTCTGCCCCTCCCGTTCATGTTCTCACTTTCTCTAAAATGAATAAATAAATATATTCAAAAAAAAATTTGCTGCTCTTAAAAATATTTAAAAGATTGCGGGGGTGCTGAATGTTGTTTCCAAACTATTTTAGCAGTGACAGCAACAAAAGAGGCATATATCTTGTCAAAGTGATTTACTTTAAAGTAAACACACTTCTTTGTATAAGAAGTGGTATGTTTTATTTATTTTTAAGTCATTTGTAAAACTTTTAGTTACAGCTCATATATGTGGGGTTTTTTTGCTACCTATTTAGATTCTACTAATATTGAAATATGTGAAAATAAACACATGAACTTAAAAGTTTATTGTTTTCTCTATATTTGAAATGATTCTGATGTACTAATGAATATGGATACCAGGTATGGCAGGGAGACAGGTATTTAGGTTGCCTAGGAGAAGAAATGGTATGTACATTTCTAACAATCCTTTTGCTTTAGGTGATAACCTAATTAAAATAGCTTTCAATCCACAGATTTTTTTTTTGCAGAAGTATAAACCCTCAAACAGGCCACAGTGGGCTTCAGCATAGCCTCTGCTACTGGACCAGTCTGTTGACTGGAGTAGAAAGGCTATAATGTTCCTCCCACACAGAATGGGGCCAGTCCCCCTGTGCATGGGTGCAGAGAAATTGGTACAGAGAGGTGAGAAAGGGGAGGGTCTAAAGTTTATTAGTTTTTGCTTTTTTATGGAGAGGAAGTTCTGAATCACTTCTTAAAGCAGATCCAAAGAAGTGTCTTCCTTAGGTTCATTGCATAATTGCTGTGTAATCGAAATGGCTAAAATTGTTGTTTTAAAGTCTCCTCCATTTCAGTTTTTTATTTTAACTGATTTTTTCATCAGTTAGCTTGAATTGTCAAGATTTGATACCGTCAATATAATATAAATGTTTTTAAATCTCTGGATAAATGGAAGTTTTTAGCTCTGTTCAGTTCACTGAGTGTAATACACATGTTTAATGTATATGTGTTTAAATATTTTTAAAAATTTTACCTTTCAGGACTATTAAAGTCTGGTAAGACCAATTCTGTGGAATCTCTTCCAGAACTGTTGACATCAGACTCTGAAGGAAGCTATGCAGGAGTGGGTAGTCCTAGAGATTTACAGTCCCCTGATTTCACAGCAGGATTTCAGTCAGATAAACTTGAGGTTTGTTTTTATTTATTAATGCACTGTTTTCTTCAAATTTTAGATCTATAGATAATTTATCTTTAGTTTTTTATTATTTTTTGCTTTAACTCTAAAATACTCTCCTGGCTGGTTTATAAAAAAATATATAATAATATGTGTAGTATTAGTTTTCTCAAATTTGCATTATGTTTCTAGTTTTAAAGATTTTAATGGCAGTTTGAGCCTTTTATGACATATTTCTAATCCTCTCATTAAAATACAATGTTGATGTAAAATATAGTAACACTGTATAGACATAGGGAGAAATATATTTATAGCTAAATTACTTGAAATTTATTTTGCGAAACGTCAGTTAACACCAGCTAAAAACTGTCAAAGGAAAATGATTTTGAAAGTAAGCCTAACTTCAAATTCTGCATAGTCTCTTTCCTCTATCATGTTACTAGGAGCAATACAATCTAGAATGGAGTTCTCCTATTCTAGCACAATTGACATTAAGCTACAGAATTTCTAGTCTGGTTAAACTCTGGGGAGGCCATTTTTTAGACATGTCTTAACATTTTATTCCATAATTGTTAATCTACAGGAAAGTGTCTAACTTATTAGATACAGTCATTTTTCTCTAACTCCTAGTCCTCCACAGAACTATTAGAACTTTGAGAAATTCATGAGACAATGGAAAATTTACCCATTCTTCTTGGTCTTCTAGGCCTCAAGGATTTTTTTTTTTAATGTGGTTCTTAAAATTTATTTTTATTATTTTTTTTATGAGGATAGAAGTTTGGGGGCAATTCATATTAACCTCAAGGTGGGTGTAGAAGACAATTGAGGTTAAAAAGGAAGATTAAAGGCATGCTGTGAATGTCTGGCAATAAGAATCTATCCTGACAATGGAAATAGCCATTTTAATAACTTCTTTGATCTATTGTAATGGCAATTGTTTTAGGGTTCCTTTTGAACTGTCAATATTATTTAACTTTAATTTTATTCATAGTGAATTATATGACATTAATATGAAACAGAAAGTCTGGCATAAAAGTCATGGACATTGATTTTAAAGTTATTGATTCATATCTTATTTGAACAACTTTATTAACATTTTTAATACTCATGTTAATAGGGATTTAATGTGCAAACTTATTCCCCTAAATATTATTCCCAAAGCTCATGATAATTGGGTTATAGTCACTGATAAGTTCTGCGAATTGGTTAAGGCACTAAACTAGAAGAATGATGGATGATTATTGTTATAAGATTTTATGCTTTAATATAATTTAACCAATGTTTATTAAGTACCAACTATATGTCAGCTACTCTGCCAGGTGCCTATTATTCATTTTTTAATTTTTTTTTTTTTTTTTAATCTTCAGGGGAAAATTAAACCATATGTTAATGGTACACCTCCTACATATTCTAGGGAAGATTTAAAACCATGGGAAAAATCACCAGTACTTAACATATCTGCTCCACAAACCATTCCCAGTAACAGAATTGATACTGCAAACTCTTCCACTTGGGTTGCTGGCTCTTTCAGGTAGCATTTTCATTTTGTTCTCTACCTATTCGAGAAATATTCATTTTTAGTCCAATGGAAATTTTTAATGAAGCACATTTAAAAAGTATTAATGTAAATTTCTAATACATAGAAAATTACCTAAATGCATACAGATTAGTAGCCAGCTAGAATAAGCACTTTTTTTCCCAGACAGAATTTAGTTCCCTTTGTACTGTCACTTGTGAAAATTGGTAAATATTATATAACACACACATACCTATATCTAGATATGTATTGACTTAATAGCTATTTTTTTGATAGTATATATTCATTAAAACTTCCATTCAGGAAGACTGTTTTGTCATTTGTAGGCTTACTTTTTGTTTTTAGCATATTAAAGGTTATTTAAGAACTCACAAAATGTATTTTGTATCACAAAATGTATCAGTTATTTTTCAGAAGACATTCATTTAATGTTACACTGTGCTTTGACTTGCCTGTATTAAATCCATATTTTTCTTTTGTTTAGAAAAGTCCATTTTTAAGTGGAAGGAGTAGATATAATTAGAATGCAGTATTCTTTTAGAGTGTTATTGAGCTTGTTTCATCTTTATATACCTACTATGGTTTATCATAGGCTAAAACTGTTGACTTACCAATTATATTTATGTAATTATTTTGAAATGTGCTGTATTTTGCAAAGTTGGGAGACCAGATTATGATGTGCCAGTTTATGTTGCTTCATATTCTAAAAGTAGTTTAGAAATCAGTCTCAAATTTTTTGCCTTTTTAAGTCAACATGTTTGTGGGACACTGAAAAGCATCTTCTAATCACTAGGTTATTTTTTTAAATGTGTTTTAAGAATAATTCGCTTGGTGTAAAGTCAGCAAAATAGACTGGCTATTTCTAAAGATTGTAGAATTTTTTTTCTCATTATTGTGTAACTCCCCCAGGTGGGTTTCTAATATTGAGCACTCCCAAGCTTTACTGTTAAATTTTTGCTGTTAACATTAGACAGTAGTAAGAATTTTGTTAAAAATAGACTATAATTTGCAAGTTCTATTCACCTTAAAGGATAAGAATTTAAGCAGAACTTTGATTACTTCTGCATGAGTTAGAAAAGAATCATTTTATTGCTTGGCTTTTTTTTTTTTTTTTTTGAGAGCTTCAGTTATGACTTTGGATGCATTTTAGTTGTTTTATGTATATATAAAAGTAGCTTTCATTCAGAGTATCCTTTTTGAATTTGGCCATAGCTGACAAACTTGAAATTAGTCTCTCATTATCAATCTTATATATAGTTTGCAGTTTCAGTGAAGTTTGGGGGTTGGACTTTATGGATCAATAACTGTGTTGTAAAGTACCTTTCATATGTATTTTAGTCCTGTCAGCCCTCCTGTCATGGATCTCAGAACCATCATGCAAATTGAAGAAAGTAGACAAAAATGTGGAGCTACACCAAAGACAAATTTGGGGTTGGTTAAAAAATCATAAAAAAGGAAAGACGGTGTTGTTTTATAGTTCTAAAGAATTGGAAAGGCCTACTGGATTTTTTTTTTCTACATTTGATATTAAATTATAAGCTCTTTCCTTAGGTACTCTAGCCTTCCTAACATTTCTTAAATATATGCTAAAGATTGAGTTGGGTTGGTAGTCCAGCTCTTGTGGAATATGGTGTTGTCAGAAATTGGCCTCTAAAATGATCATTGTGGACTATTTCTGATACAAGTGTGATGTAAATATATTAGGAAGGCTCATTTGTAGCTATTATTTGATCATTGATAGTGTAAACTGTTATTGTCACTGTTGAATCTTGTGGCCATTTTGATCCAGTAGTAGTAAAAGCATATCAAACAGAAAGCAATATAATTACCTGTAACCTTCATTAAGTAGAATTTAACGCTAATTCATTTAATTTCTAGCAAAATGATTTCTCATGGAGTTAAACTTTCTCAGAAGCAACGAAAAATGATTGCAATGACTACCAAAGAAAACAATTCAGGAACGAATAGCATGGAAACAGCTTTAACTGCTCCTTCAAAAACTCCAAAGCCAGCGAATGCATGGTATGCTTTAAATTTTATTAAAATAAACAGAGATCTGTGCATTAGCTTTTAAGGTAGTTCTTGGCTTCTGGGTCCCCCTCCCATCTTTTCAAATATTTCATTCCTCTCTTTGCTTTTAAATTAAAAAAAAAAAAAAAATTACTTCACAAGGTCTGGTTTTTATTTTGACATTTACATCATGGTTTCCAAAATTTTTTGTACATAGATACATTTTTTTGTACATAGATACAATTTCTTCTTGGTATTCTTTCCTTTTTTATCTTCTTTTAAAGATTTTATTTGGGAAAGAGTGAGAGAGCACAAGCCGGGGGAGGGGCAGAGGGAGAAGCTGACTCTCCACTGAACAGGGAGCCTGATGTGGGGCTTGATCATACCTGAGCCACCAAGGCGCCCCACTTCTTAGTATTCTAATTAGTGTGTACTGCTAAAGTAATTTAAGGAAACAGTCTTATTTTTTTAAGAAACAATATATATCATATAAAAATTGGATAAACACAATTTTTTTTTTTTTACCACCTTACTTTCTTTGTCCTTTTGGATATATCTTTAATATGTTGTTATAATCATGGCTTTCATCATCACTTTTTTTTTTTTTTAAATATTTTACTTATTTATTTGAGAGAGAGACCCACAGGGAGAGAGGGAACACAAGCAGGGGGAGTGGAAGAGGGAGAAGCAGGCTTGCCGCAAAGCAGGGAGCCCGATGCGGGGCTCGATCCCAGGACCCCGGGATCATGACCTGAGCCGAAGGCAGACGCTTAACGACTGAGCCACCCAGGCGCCCCTCATCATCACTTTTAAGCAGGGGTATTTACTTGCTGTAAGTTTTCTCCATTAGAGTTTACTTAAAATGGCAGCGTTAATAGGAACAATCTTTAAAAAGGTCAGCTAGCAATTTGAGGTATATAAAATAGGTTGTACCTCCTGCTTCCCTTCTAGCCTCCCTTTTCTTTGTAGTTTATATCATGATAACTAAAAAGCAGTTCTAGAGGAAAAGTATATGGATAATGTGAAGGGCAAGAAAGAGATTCATTGAACTCCCATTTTCTCAGAAGGACTGAGGAGGGTCTTGGAGGCTACCCTTTGTTGGAGGGAATCCTTTCATTGCTTCTTTTATTTATTATTATTTTTTTGAGAGAGAAAGAGAACAGGGTGGGGAGGGGCAGAAGGAGAGGGAGAAAGAGAATCTTAAGCTCCAGACCCAAAGCAGAGCCAGACATGGGACTCAGTCTCATGACCCTGAGATCATGACCTGAGCTGAAATCAAAAGTTGGATGCTTACCCCCACTGAGCCACCCAGGTGCCCCCCTTTCATTGCTTCTAATGCCACCTTTCCAACTTGTAAGAGAATAGTTTTCCCAATTAAAATGTAAATTATTTTGAAGCTAGTGGCAACTCATTTTGAGTGCTACCAAGGGGACTAAATTAATGTCTGTCAGAACTACTTGTAGATCTAAAGCATGATCACAGAAAAGAAAGTAAAGGAAGAGGTGGGAAAACCCAGGTAAAAAGGATAAAATTTAAGGGAATTAGTTTAGTAGAATGTTTTAATTCATCAGTATTTGTTGCATACCTTGTATATATGAGACAGTATTTGGTAGACTGATTTGGTCATTGCCTCTGCAGGGTTTGTGGGATAGCCGTTTCAACATTGAGTTGTGTTTTCCCTAAAGAAAAGTATGGAGGAGACACAAAAAAGTTCTTGGATCAGCTCTTAAGATACTAAATACACTGCAATTTCAGAGAATTAACTAAGCATATGAGGAAGCTTTGGGCTTAGTAATATAGTTTTAGCCATGCCATTAATCAGTTTCATTATTTAAAAGCAAAAAGTAGAGGAGGATCCCAGGGAAGATGGTGCATTAGGAGGACTCGAAGCTCACTTCGTCCCACAATGCACACATAACACACACATCATTGTAAATAACCCAGAAAATTATTCAGAGACTGGCAGAACAAACTCTACAACTAAATCTAGAGAAGAGGCCACATCAAAGAGTGTAAGAAAGCCAGAGACAGTGGGGAGCTAAATGGACTTCGCTGGAGGGAGGGACTTGAGGGTGCAGAGAGGGGAGACAGATTGTCACACCAAGGAGCCTGTGTGGGGAAAACGAATCCCCATAACATTTGGCTTTGAAAACTAGAGGGATGGAATTTTGTGAGTTCTTACAACCACCAGGACTTAAAACATGGAATTTTAAAAATCAGCAGGGAGATTTGGGAGAGCCTTTAGAGCTATAAGAAAAAGAGCACAACAAACAGCCTACTGACCTACAGCATAGAAGCAGCAGTTTGAAAAACCCCTGGGGCAAATGGGAGGGAGAATTATTTACTAATCTCAGAGCATGTTCCAGAGGGACAGAGATCATTGGGAGACTCCTCCAGGAACAGAGGAGCTGGCAGGTGCCATTTCCCCAGCCCACTTCTGTGCCTCGGGGATCTGCCCCCTCCAGCCAGGCTTGCCTTAGTCCGGCACTACAGGTCTCCACCCCCCAAAAGACCAGCAAAGCCTTGCCAATACCACATCTCCTGACAGTGCACTTTGCAGGGCCTCTCTTGCAGAAGACCAGCAGGCACTTTGTTAAAACTGTGCATCCCACCCCTGCATGCATTGCAGACAGGCCCAGCTGGCCTGCCTTGTGTTGGAGGCACATCCGCCTAGCAGGGGATCGGCATGCAAAACTTGTAGGCGCTGTGTACCCTGTCCACCCACGCTTGCAGATTGGCCCTGGCCAACATTGGTCAGTGGCAGCCCATCCCCTCTAGTAGAGGACTGGTATGCATTTGTTAAAACTGCACCCAGCCGACGTATTTTGCTGATCAGCCCAGATGGCCATGGTCCTTGCAGAGGCTCATCTCTTCTCCCAGGGGACCTACTGCATGCCCCACCCCTGATCATGTTGTAGATCCACCCCACCAATACACTCTCGCACGGAGCCCATTCAGACCAGGGCCACAAGCTTGGCAGTATGCAAGCAGCCCTGACAGGGGCCAACACCACTCCAAAGTGACTCCTACCCTGGGGAGAGGAAAAGATAACCACACAAACCAATTAACCTATAGCCCCAGTAGTGGGCTAGGGACAGACAGTTGGTCTGATAGCAGGCCCCGCCCACCAACAAAAGCGTCTCAGGGGACAACACAGGGAAAGTACTCTGTAGTTTGGTGCTACTGCATGTCAGGCAAAAGCCTGGTTTGACTCAATTCAAGCCCAACGTGGCCCCAGACTGGTCCAGTAACACCACAGGGATCAAACATTGCCCACAATAGGCAAAGTGAGCCACTGCAGACAACTGGACTGAAGCAAAAAGTAGTTTGACTACAGTAGCAGGGAACAATATAGGAGACACCCCTGAAGCGCCACATTCTGGTAAACAGGTGACACTGCACTGCCGGGCACTACATGGCATCTTCTTCATAAGGTTACTTCTTTCAAGAGTAGATGTAGCCAACTTTTCCTGAGTCATAGAAACACAGAAAGCTAGATAAAATGAGAAAGAGGAATATGTTCCAAATGAAAGAACAAGACAAAACCATAGCAAGAGACCTAAGCAAAAGAGATAAATAATATGCCTGATAGAGAATTTAAAGTAATCGTCATAAAAATAATCATTGTACTTGAAAGAGTGGAGGACATCAGTGAGACCGTTAACAAAGAGAATAAAAAGAATCAGAGATGAAGAACACAATAAATGAAATTAAAAATACACTAGATGGAATAAAGAGCAGACTAAAGGAAGCAGAACAAATCAGTGACCTGGAGGACAAAGTTACATAAAGTAATAAAGCTGAGCAGGTGAAAGAAAATTATGCAAAATGAGAACTTAGGTAACTCCGTGACTCCATCAAGTGTATTAACATTCACATTATAGGGATCCCTGAAGAGTAGAGGGAAAACAGGCAGAAAATTTATTTGAAGAAATAACAGCTGAAAACTTCTCAAATCTGGGGAAGGAAACAAATTCAGATCCAGGAGGTACAGAGAGCCCCCAACAAAATCAACTCAAGGAAGTCCATACCAAGACACATAGTAATAAAAATGGCAAAAAGCAGTGATAAAGAACTTTAAAAGCAGCAAGAAAAAAGAAGACAGTTACATACAGGGGAAACCCCATAAGGCTATCAGTGGATTTTTTAGCAGAAACTTTATAGGCCAGAAGGGATTGGCATGATACATTCAAAGTGCTGAAAGGAAAAGAACTGCAGCCAGCAATACTCTATCCAACAAGGCTTTCATTCAGAATAGGAGAGAGAAAGTTTCCCAAACACAAGTTAAAGAAGTTCATGACTACTAAACCAGCCCTACAAGAAATGTTAAAGAGGACTCTTTGAGTGGAAAGACCCTAAGTAAGAAGCACAAAAGCAGTAAAAATAAGTGTATCTGTAAAAAAAAAAAGAAAAAGTGAAGGGACTCACAAAATAAAAGTATGTAAAGTATGACATCATATACCTAAATTGTGATGGGAAGAGGAGTAAATGGGTTCAACTTAAGTGACCATCAAGTTCATATAGACTGGTATATGCAGAAGATACATACAAACCTAATGGTAACCACAAATTAAAAACCAGTAATAGACATTATATGTTAAAAAAAAAAAAAAAGATAGCAGGAACAGAAAAATGAAGGGGGGGAAATCGGAGCGGGAGACGAACCATCAGAGACTATGGACTCTGAGAAACAAACAGTTTTAGAGGGGCGGAGGATGGGGGGGTGGGTTAGCCTGGTGATGGATATTAAAGAGCGCACGTACTGAATGGAGCACTGGGTGTTATATGCAAACAATCATGGAACACTACATCAAAAACTAATGATGTGATGTATGGTAATTAACATAATAAAATAAAAAAATAAAACAGTAACAGATATGCAAAAAAAACTGAGAAAGGAATCCAAATATACCACGAAAGAAAGCCAACTTATGGTGAGAGAAGAGAGCAGTGGAAGAAAGAAACAGAGAAAACTATAAAAACAACCACAAAACAAGTAACAAAAAGGCAAT